TTTCTTTTTTAATTTTACTCACACTCTCCAGTCCATTAATGAAACAAGAGTTGTCAATGTTTTTTCTCTCTTGAAATTGTGGCTCTTTGGTTGTCCAATGAATTCTTTAAGAAGAGCTCATAATTGTCATTTTTAAACTTGTACCTAAATTTTTTCTTCCTGCTTGCACTCTTATTTTCTGGTGATTTGAAAATACAGCTCTTTTAGAGCACCAGGTGTATGCAAGCCCAGGTCACAAACACTGCTCCCCAGCCAACCACTGAACTGCAATCCAGGGATCTTTGTTTGGTTTTTTTTACTTCCTTCATTATAACAAAGTCCAAAAGAATTTACCCTGTGCCACATGCCAAATGGCTCATGTCATTTTTAGTAACTTAAATGACATTTTATTACTGTACCCATATGGTCTTGTGCTACTATTTTCTTTATTTAGAGAACTCTTCTCTCTTGACTGTCTACCCGTTCATATGTTTAAAAAGAGTAATCAAATTCCTTGTTTCTCTAGGCAAACCAAGCCAAAGGCTTTTATTCTTCCCTTACACATTTGGCTCTCTGCTCTAACTTGCCCTCCCCTGCACCTGTCTCCATTTAAATCCATTTTTCTTGCATGGTGATGTTTTGAACAGTCACACTGAAGGGTAAATTTAGTTAAATTTTAAACTCCATTATATTCCTAGACAATGAAGAAAAGCTGATTCCTTGCCATGCTTTCTACACTAACTTATCTCTTATCCCACCAGTTACTTGAGGGACTCAGAGACATAACCACAGACCCCAGACGCTTCCAGAACATCGGGATATGCCACGACTAGACTTGCACTTGTACCTTTGCGCTGGGTCACGAAGGTTTATCACATTTAAGGCACAACAACAATCACCGGAGCAAGTGTCCCTCTCACACCCGTGGGCATGACCTCATCCTCCGGCGTTCCCTCCACCCCGCCCCGGAGCAGCCGCCTTCCAATCGCAGCCTTTTATTTTGGGGAGGATCCGGCGCTTCTCACCAGAGAACACGTTTCCTTCTAGACTCCTCCTAGATTCCGTGGCGCCGAGGAATAATGAATAATCATCAGAATGCAAAAGCTCTTATCTTTCTTGTTTTGATAACATTTCTCCAAGGGATGGACAACGTTATTCTCGAATCTTTATGACAAACATGGCAGTACAGCCCTATAATTTTCTCTCTGTATTAAATTTTTTTTGCCAACAAAACCAAACTTCCTGCTTTTTGCAAAGCATGACTCACATCCTCCATTCTGTTTTGACTGACATAAGAGATCTATTTCAGTCATATGACAATAACTTTGAATCTGACTAGCCACTTATGTGGAAATCAAAGCCTGTTCTTGCAGGATGTATGGATGTTAGCAGGAATGGTGTTTTACATAACTCCACTGAAGATCTGCCTGCTTTTCCCGAAGAACTTGCTCCTGGAAGAGCGAGGCACGGCAGTGAAAGCCCAGCGTGCCACCTCGTGGCTGCCCTGTGCCCAGGGCCGATCCTAGCGCCTCCCTTTTCCAGGAGAATCCAGCCCTTCCAAAGTCTGCATGTGTTGTAATTAGCACACCCGCACCCCTGCTGATGCCTTCTCACAAGCAGAATAAAACCGAGTGATTCTTCACCCGACAGATCAAACCAGAGACAAGCAGGGAGGCAGGTGTTATTCAGAGGAAATGTCACTGAACTGGAGTTTGCAGGATAAAAAATCAGGTCGCAGGAATGTGAATTGCAGGGATGTAACACGCTTGGAGTGCTGCTGCCAACCAGAAGGTTTGTCTGGGAAATTCTCCATCTTCCACTTGGTTTTACCAGTGTGTTGGTGAAGTTTTACTGTCATGGGTCTTGGATTTCAGCTGTTTTATGCCTAATCAATGAGAGAGGAGTAGTTAATTGGATCAACACATCTCCCACGCAGAGGGGTTGTGCCTTCACCAGGATTTCATTCAGGTTAGAATGCACTTTTCCAGCTAGTTTAGGCTGGGTTAAGCCTTCCCTCTCCCACCTGATAGATCTTGCTGCCTTCCTCAGGGCAGGTCAAGGAAAACTGACCTTGATTTTTTTTGGTTGCTTTACCTTTCGGTTTAGGCTGGGTTAAGCCTGCAGTTCCACAACCTTCCCTCTCCCACCTGACAGATCTTGCTGCCTTCTTCAGGGCAGGTCAAGGAAAACTGACCTTGATTTTTTTTGGTTGCTTTACCTTTCAGGAAGAGCAGCTCTCTGCCATCACATGGAAGTAGCATGAAAACTTGGTAAGTGATGGACCATAAGGTGGGAATGCTCTTCTTTGTTTTTCTTTTTTTTTTTTTTTCCTGTCTTAGACCAGGGCAGCTTAAGCCAGTTACAAAACTCCCTTTCAGAGAGATATATTAAGTTTGGCTGACCCACTTCAACCTCACTCACCTGGCAAGAAGAAACTGCCTTTTCTTGCCTGCATGGCACAGGGTGATGGGAATGCCAGCACCAGCATAAACTGTACCCAGGCTGCGTGTGGATGGTGACTGAAGGCAGTGAGGAGCAGGCTCTTCCCTTTTTGTCAACAGCAAGCTGTTATCTCAGCTACCATGTAATTTTCCTACCATGTAATTTCAGCCTCAGATGCAGAATTCAGCACCCGGAGTCAGGCAGTCGCCCTGACAGCCTGAGAGGCTGAGCTGCTGCTTTGTGGTTTTTGTGGGGGTTAACACCTCGTGGTTGCCGTTTGACAGGTGGAACGTCTGCTCAAAGCAGGTTCAAACACCTCCTGGCACTGAAGCACACAGGGTGAGAGTTGGCTCCTGGAGAAGCTTTGACATGGGACAAAACCGGGCTTGTACAAAAGGACTTTGAGCTGTTTGCAAACAGAGCTGGTTGTTGCTGAAATTCACAGAAGATCCGTATTCAAAATGCCCAATACCAATTTCTAGTGCACATGCCAGGCTCTGCACATCATAAAGGAAAGATTTTCTGCTTTCAGTGGAGCTGTAACTCACCAACAGATTCAGATAAATTGCTAACAGAAAGGCCATTATCTAGAAGTGGAAATGTTTGTGTTTCCCCAGGCACTGCAAGATGTTCTTCAAGCCAAAGCTATCAGCTGTGAGGGTACAACAGCTTTATCACCACACTTCTGCACTAGCACTCCCCACAACAGCGGGATTTGAGAGAAGCCCAGGATGGGCTTCCTGGGTCAACATAAAACCCTAGAGACTGTTCTCCATTTCGGTCAAATACTTAGGATACTGAACAGAATAATCATAGAATCACAGAGTGGCCTGGGTTGGAAAAGACCTTGAAGATCATCTGTTTTCAACCCCCCCGCTGTGGGCAGACACCTCCCACTAGACTAAGTTGCCCCGAGCTCCTTCCAACCTAGCTTTAAACTCTGGGGCAGCCACAGCTTCTCCGGGCAATCTGTTCCAGTGCTTCACCACCCTCACAGTAAATTTTCCCCTTAATATTTAATCTAAACCTCCTCTCAGTTTAAAGCCATTCCCCTTGTCCTGTCACTACATGCTCTTGTAATGTCTCCCAAAGCTCAGTCAGCTGCTCCTTCAGTTTTAACTTTGTTGCATCATGGAAGAGCGCAGTGCTTGGGTCTAATTCCCTCTGAATATATATCCCACTAGATGTGTCTATTTACCCTTTAAAATGGGTAACTTGCAGGAAAAATCGTTGCCAGCTGGCAGAAAACACTGAACCACTGCATAGAAGAACCACGTGCTGCTCTTAGAATCGAGTCACCTGCTCTGTACAGAAAGGTAAGGCCTCCCCGAGATGAGATAAGCCCGGGCAATGATAATAGAGTCTTTGTCGAAATCCCACCCCATTGTTCAAGGGCTGATGTGCCGGCCCAGGGAGAACAAAAGGAAATGTTTCTAGTCCTTGAAAACCACAGCAGAATCAGGGGTTGGCAGCAAAAGCAAGCCAGCCATACACAGAATTAAAAAAGAGAAGTCAGCGGCAGCTTTTTTTGTTGAGCAAATAAAAAGATTATTCTCTGTGAATTGTGGCCTGACCTTGGAGTGAGTAGTAAAGGGGTAAATACCTGCAATTCTAATCCATCTTTGTAGGATTGCAGCTGGAAAGAAACTGAAGTCCTTGTGAATGGTCCTAATGTGGCTCACAGGAGTGAAAATGCCGCTGTAGAGGGACTTCAAGGTTGCTCTGCCTCTCTTAAGCTGTTTCAGAAACAACTTCATCAAAGGTCAGCCCAGGGTAGAGGGGAAAGCCATGACAAATAAGAAACGGCTCTGTGTGCTTCAGGACAGGAGATCTCCGTGGGGTTTTGTCCTGACCCTCCTGCAGGGCGGGGTAAGGACCAAGTGCTGGTTGATACCGTGTGCCCAGAGGTTCCCTGACATTTTTCGTGTCCTTGTTGCTACTTTCGAGGTTGCTAAAGTTTGAAAGTCCAAGAAAGGCTCTTCCTCAAAACCTGTGGAAGCCCGGCCAGAATTCCAGTTACTCCCTGAGCTCAGTGCATCCTTGCAGGGACTCCCCCCGCCAACCTCCCTCCTCCCCCAGCACTTCCCGGTGGGACACCCCGCATCCCTCTGCTCTTCGTGGAAATGCGTGAACTCTTCCAGCCCTGGCAAACGCAGTCTCCCGGTACTTAGCACGTACTCGGTACTTTCACATCGATGCAACAAGTGGCTCCGGGCACTGTCGGGCATTGTGGGAGCTGTAGTTCGCCGCTCGCAGCACTACAAGTCCCAGCCTCCCGGCGGAGGAGAAAGAGGAGGAGGAGGCGGAGGCGGAGGAGGAGAGGAGCCGGCACGGCCCAGGCCTGCAGCCCGTGAGGAAGAGCCCCCCGGGGGCGGGCCGCGCCGGCATGCGGCTCCCCGGCCGGCTCGCCCTGCTCCGGAGCACGCCCCTGGCTGCCCGGCCGCCAGGGAGGGTCCGAGCGGGGCGGGCGGCGGCGCGGCGCGGCTTCTCCCGCGGGCGGCTCGGCGGCACCATGGCAGAGGAGGCCAAGAAGCGGGCCGCCTTCGCCGCCGTGGACAAGCACGTCCAGGTGAGGCAGCCCGGGGTGCTGCGGGGGGCTCGGAGCCCCGGAGCGGCCGCGGGGTGCGCGGAGCCTCCGGGAGCACGGAGTGCACGGAGGGGCTGCGGGGACCCCCCCAAAGCACAGAGTGTCTGCAGGGTGTTGGGGTCCCCCAATGCATGCTGTGGGCATGGAGCGCTCCAGGGTGACGGGACAAGCTCTGGGCTGCCGGGACCTCCAGTACACAGTGGCTCCGGGCTGCCGGGACAGGATCTGGTGTGCCGGGACCCCCAGTACACTGAGCGGCCATGGGGTGCACGGAGCTTCCCAGCGCATGGAGAGGCTGTGGAGAGCACGGAGCCCCCAGTACAGTGAGAGATCCCGGAGTGAGGGACTGGCTCCGGGGTGCCGGGACCCCCCAGTGCACGAGGGGCCGCGGCGTGTGTGGAGGCTCCCGGTGCACGGACGGAGCTCGGGGTGCACGGAGCGACTCCGGGGTGCAGAGACCCCCTAATGCACGGAGCTGCCACATGGTGCACGGAGTCTCCGGAGGCACGGACGGGTCCTGGGCTGCGTGGAGCGGCTCCGGGAGCAGGGACGGGCTCCGGGCGCTGGGACTCGGAATGCACGAAGGGGCCGTGAGTTGCACGGAGTTCCCCGGTGCACGGAGCAACTCCGGGGTGTCAGGACTCCACAAAGCACAGAGCGGCCGCGGGGTGCGCGGATTTTTGCAGAGCGACTGTGGATTGCGGGAACAGGCTGTGAGCTGCCGGGACCCCCCAGTACACGGAGCTTCCCCGTGCACGGATCCCCAGCACCCAGAGCGGCTCTGGGGTGCCGGGACTGCCCAAAGCACGAAGCGGCCACAGGGAGTGCCGAGTCCCGCGGTGCACGGACGGACCTTGGGACGCATGGAGCGATTCTGGGGTGCAGGGACACCCCAAGCACAGAGCAGCCGTGGACTCTCCCAGAGCACGGATTTCATGGAGCTGCTACGGGTGCGGCGGTGAAGTGCACGGAGCTTCCCCATGCACGGACAGGCTGCGGGATGCACGGATCCCCAGCACCCAGAGCGGCTCTGGGGTGCCGGGACTGCCCAAAGCACGAAGCGGCCGCAGGGAGTGCCGAGTCCCGCGGTGCACGGACGGACCTTGGGACGCATGGAGCGATTCTGGGGTGCAGGGACACCCCAAGCACAGAGCAGCCGTGGACTCTCCCAGAGCACGGATTTCATGGAGCTGCTACGGGTGCAGGGACAGGTTTTAGGGTGTTGGGACTCCACAATGCACAGAGGGGCTGTGGAGGACACAGAATCTCTGGTGCATGGATGGACGCTGGGGTGCACAGAGCAGCTCTGGGGTGCTGGGACCACACAAAACACAGAGTGGCCACAAAACATAGGGGTGCACGGAGCCTTCCAGTGCACGGCCAGACCCAGGGCTGTGTGAGGCAGGGACAGGCTGTGGAGTGCCGGGACTCCACAGTGTATGGGATGTACTGAACTTCCCAGGGCATGGATGGGTTTCAGGTGGCACGGACTCCTGCAGCGCAGAGAGCAGCCCCAAGATTCATGGATGCAGTGGGGGGTACTGAGAATAACTCCACACTGGGAGCATGAACAGTCCTGGGTGCAAAGAGGGACCCTGGGGTGCATGGATAGGTCCTGCTGAGCCTCTTTCTCCTTCGCTTTGGACTTCACTCTCTTTAGCTGAGGCGAAGGGAGAAAACTGCTTTTCCTTCCCCAGCGTGTGCCTCCCTAGCAGCAGCTTCATGCCTGATCCAGCTCAGCGCTGTGTATGCCGAATTTGGGGTAATGTCTGCACCTCCAGACTTTCACTATGCACCCTCCTGCACAGGCTGGGCTGTGGTGGGAGTTCAGGCTAATGCCAAGTACTGCTTCTTTCTCCAAATCCAGGATGCGCTGCTGCTACGCCCCATTTTTGGGCACCCAGGCAAGGAGCAACAGTCCCTGACCAGGGGATTCTGTCTTGTCCTCTGCGGGGAGGGAAATGCAGCCAGGGGCTCTGTGTCAGATAGGGCTGGAGCTGGCTGAGGTTTGGCACAGCCTGGTTTGGAAGCTCAAGGATCAACGGTTACAGTCACGCAGGGCTTATCGCAGCGTCCCTGCCAGCCCTTTCGCAATAGCAGTGGTGAAATCGGGGTGAGGAGTTCCTGCTAAGAATGTAGATATTAGCAGTTGGGGGAGGAAAAAAAAAATCCCTTTTCCTTCCCGCTCCCCCCTCGCTGGGGTAGCGTTTTGAGGTTCAGTTGTGATGGCTTCCCTTATGTCCCGTGAAAGTTTTGCTTGTGTAGCTGTTCCTCTGAGCAGTCTGTACCTGCCTGAGACCCAGGCCAGCACTGTCAAAAATGAACAGTCTGTGAGATGGGGGAGCCTGGGGGCTCTGGCAGTTGCATAAAAATCCTCTTTCTTACCCAAGGCAAGGCCCAAATTGTGCATTAGGGGTCGTGGGAGGAAGGACTCGTTTCAAAAGGTGTGGAGCCAACACACCACTGTTGCTGTGAGGTATCATAAATGGGGGCTGCTTTGATTTGGGGTAAACCCAGTACTTTTGGACTTCAGCAGTGAAATAGCTGGCCTTTGTGCTGTTTTATGGCCAGGCAAACTTAGGATAATGTTTCTGGCTGTGTCCCAGCTAATTAAAGGTCAATGTCCAGCTTGTGGTGCCGGTTAAGTAAATTAGCAGTGTGTGGGGTAACACTCCAATGCTTGTGCAAACTGGCTTCAAGGAATGGTGGAGAAGGAGCTCAGGGTCACTGCCCAGGAGCTGGATGGGCTCAGCTCTCAGTTTGCACGGGCAGGGGGCAGCTGCTGTTTGTGATGGATATGTTTGTGTTTGCTCCTTAGAGCTCTGGTGGGGAGCAATGTTATCTCTGAAAGCAAAGCTAACGCTTCCCTTGCACAGCAGGGACGTGTGGGAGATACCAGGGTTTGGTTCTGCTGGACAAATCTCTCTTGATTAACTGTGCCATCAATCTGTGGCACTGGGGGCTTGGGGCTGCTGCTGGATGAGGCTCCTCACCTGGCACCCACCTTCACACCCATCCCTGCCTTGCCAGGACAGCAGCTCCTTGTGTGGCAGATGTCAACCTGGGTGTGGGAGGGGGGATTAGGAGAGGATAACTTTTCTGTTTTTCTTTTCTTTTATTTTTTTAAAATTAAAGCTAGATCGGTGTGTTTACAAACCGCACTTGTCCCTGGGCAGCTGCAGGAGCAGAGTTCCCCAGGTCTGGAGTGGACACTAAGAGGGCCAGCCCCAGATGCCATGGACTGTGGGGCTGTGACAGCCTGGGGGAGTGGGGCTGGCACAGGGCTGGGGCTTTAGAGCTGTAAGCTGCTTGGGGAGAGCTGGCTTTGCGTTTATACAACACCTCTGAGGGCGGGCCCTGTGAGCGTGCCTCTGTTAGAAATGAAATTACAGCTACTGCCCTGTGTCCCACTGCCCCAGAGAGACTGAGCAAACCTTGGGCTTTGCTCTGTATTTATCTACTGCTTTTCGATGGAGCTCTTTGTTGTCTGACCTTGGAAGCTTAGGTGGGACTGGCCAGTGCCTGTGTGCTGCTGGTGCTGCTCCATGTGTGTTGCCTTGTTGGCTTCTGTGGTGCTGGGCAGTGACTTTAGGCCCTTGGGGTGGCTGAAAAAATGCTGCCCACTTCACCCAAAAGGGTCCTCAGCTGTGCTGTGGTTCAGTGCCTGGGTTTTATTTGGTGGGCTTTTGGTAAGCAACTTGAAATGTAATTCTTTTTTTTGCATGAGGTGCTGCTCCTCAGTGCTCTGCTTTTCACCAGTGTTTGCCCTGCCCCTGTGTTTAAAATGTTTTGTGGTTGGTTTTGCCCCTGGTCTGGCTGGAGTTTGAGCTGAGGAGGGAGAGGTGGGAGTCACGGTAAGGCAGGGGCTGTGACAGCACCAGTTTAGACTGATTAAAAGTGCTGCTTCTCCTCTAATCACTGATAACTGGATTGGCTGGGACCCTTGTGAGCTTTTCCTGCCTTACTACAGTGGAGTTGCCCATGCTGAAGCTTTCCCCATCCCTTTAGGGTACCCAGCTGCTCCAAGAAGCTGTCCCACCTTCCAAGAAGCTGTCCCTGCCTATGAGGGCAAAGAGAAGAAACTGCCTCTCCCCGGGTCAGAGCGAGTCTTTTGGGAACACTGGTACTGCCCGTGTCCTGCCAGCCTCTGCACAGCTTTGCTTGCCCCTTCCTTGGCTGGCCTTGCTCGGCTCTGCCTGCCTGTGGGTGACACGAGAGCCTCAGGAGCTGTTGGGTGTGTGCTGGCCACCTTGCAGGTGTGCAGCAGGGACCTGTTGCTGTGCCCACCTTTTGCAGAGTCACAGTGGTTAGTGAGGGCTGGGATGGAAGCTGTGCCTCTGTTTTTGGAGAACTTTATTTTCTTTAAGCTTTTAACTTGCAGAAGCAAGAGAAATGACTAATCCTAGGGGAGTGTGACCTGTCTTGAACTTCACCTTTCCAGGTAAACTTGAGTGACAGCAAGATTTTAGCTGGTTGAAGTGCTGCAGGTGTGGCTTTTTCCACAGCTGCCGAACTCTGGATTTGCTGCACACGAGGAACAAGCTCCAGATCTGTCTAATGTCCAAGAGATAATGCGCAACAGCTCTGTGCCTGCATCTCTGGTTGTCTTCATATGTTCCTCATCTGAAGTCTCTGTGGTGATACTGGGCCTCTTTAAGTCAATTTAAGCTTTGGATCCCATCCAAAGAAAACGAAGTACACTGAAAATGGGAAGTGCAGAAGGCTGCAGGTCACTTACAGGGGATGGGAAACTGAGTTGATAATAAACAGAGGCTGACGTGGCAGAGAACATGTCTTGCAGAAGTAACACAAATGCACCCATCCACCCTCAGCCTGCAGCACCTTTTAGGAGTGTATCTGTGTTACAGATGACAGGGCAGTGATCCTTCTTAAATCAGGCAATACACAGAGAAAGGCCAGGATGGAGCTGTGGTTAAAATTTCATCCTCTTCAGCACATGCTGCCAGGCTCACCCACCTTCCAAGTTTTGCTGGACTCTCCTATAGGCAGCTTTACACTCTGTTTTGGAAAACATTCTTTATTATTCACAGGAACAGCTGCTGTGCTCTCTGCTTTGGCTGCTGGTGCATCTGTGCTGTTTACTAATGATATGGTTGGCAGCAAATTCAGCCTTTTACTGTGTGGCTTCCTTGGGAGATTTTATCTTGAGGTTGTTTCCCCTTCTTCCTCTGTGGTATTGTCTGAAATTCACAGCTTTCCGGCAGGAGAGCTTTCATGGAATGCCAGCAACCACCAGTGAGCGTGCATTGAACACCCTGAGATCGGACTGTGCTGGTAATTAGCAAGCACATGTCCTTTAATGAGAGGGAGAGTTGATTAAAATCCCTTGGCTGCAGACCACGGCCGTGCCCTCGCTGGCACAGCGTGTTCCCTCCCTTGCCTGCAGAGTGCTGAGATGCTGTGTCCACGTGCATCCCTGGACAAGGCTCCTCTTGCATGTGTTTACAATGCCAGTTTTACTGGGAAAGTGGAGTCTGGAGCCTGCAGTAACAGCATTCCTCTGTCTCTCTTTGATTTGCAGAACAATCAAGTTCTTGGGATCGGAAGCGGATCTACGATTGTACACGCGGTGCAACGATTAGGTAGGATGCTCCCCTTCCTGTCCCTCCCACCACAAAAAGTCTCCTTTTCCATCTGCGCCAGCTGCTTGAAAAACACCCTGAATCACCTGGGTGCTGACTTAGAGCTCATGCCTTGGGTCTGTTCACTGGCTGCTGTGTCCTGCTTGAAGCTGAAGGTTAAAACCGTGCCTTGGGCTCCAAATTTATTGCCTGAGAGTCCTGAGGAGGTAATGATTTGCCACCTGTTCCTGACAGCCAGGAAAAGCTCTCCACTGGCACCCACCACAAACTGGAGCTGAGCTCCTTGGTCTGGTGCCAGCTTTGCCAGCTCTGCCCAGTGCTGACTTGCTGTGTGGCTCGGGGCCATGCAGCTGCTCTGCTTCCTTGAGCCCGTTTGCCTGTAGCTCATTTTGCTCCCCACATCCACAGGATTCACACTGAGGGCCCTGCTGAGGTGTAATGAAAATGAGGAATGTGAAATCCTGCTGCATTTTATTAATGTACCTTGCAGCCAGGTTTACCTGCTTGCTCCAGGTGCAGGGATTTGCTCAGGGAGTGATGCAGAAAATTTCTGCAAAATATTCAAGTGAGGCAAATGCAGTTTTGCAGAGTGAGTGTGAGGGTAATTACTGTCACGGCTCATTACAGAGCGTGCAGAGGTTTACAGGTCCTTTGCAGGGCAGTCTCAGCCCTGCTTGTGGAGGTGCTGAACTTTGGATGTCCTTGGATGCAGAGCAGAGCAGCTGTGGGGGCCATGGTGGGTTGGGAGTGCAGGATCAGCCCTGTTGTTCTTGGGGGTCTTGCTTGGGTACAGAGGGGGAAACACAGACTCATTAAGGTTGGAAAACACCTCCAAGATCCTCAAATCCACACAGCACCACTGTGTTCACCACCAAACCATACTCCCAGGTGTTACACCCACACTTCAGATGTGAAGATTGCACCACTTCCCTGGCAGCACAGTTCAGTGTGCCCCACCTGGGTGGCTCTGCCTCTCTGGGAGTCCCCTGGTGACCTCCAGCTCCCTTGGGCAGAGCTGTCCTGCAGCCCAGAGCAGGCTGAGTTCTGAGCACAGCCCAGCCCTTTGCTGTGCAGGGACACACCAGGGCTGGGGCTGCCCCTTGTCACCCATTTCCCCACTCTGTGTGTGATGCACTTCATTGTCTGGGAGCTGCTGTTCAGCCTTCTGGGCTTGGCTCAGTACTGCAACCACTCCCTCCCTGAGCACAGAATCAGTCTCTAAATAAATGGCTATTGTATTTGAAGAGGAGTGGCTGTTCCAGGCTGCAAATTCTGGCTTTTCACGTCCCCTGATTGCTTTAGAACTGGGATGTGGCTTGTAACAACATCCAGCCTCATGTACTGCATGTTCAATCCTTCCAGCAGCAGCATTACCTTGGAGCATGTATGTAGCTCATGTGCTTGCTCTGGTGCACGAGCTCTTGCTGGCTCTTGGGCTCTTGGCTCATGCCTGAGTATTGTAGTTACTAAAATAACATTTTGTCCATAATGATATCTTAGTAATAGATTTTAGTCATTTGAGGTTAGCCTGGGGGAGGAAATATTTCCTTCCATTTAATGGAATACTGTACTTTATTAGTTCTTTCCCTGCTATATATTTAAATGTTCTATAATAAATTAATGTGATGTCCCCCAGGGCAACAAGCCAGCAAACCTTTCAGACAGCTGCTGGAGCTCTGTGTTTACATGGAGAGCAGCAAAAACCTTTCTGATGGAGTGAAAGAGGGGATAGGGCAGATTTCCCAGGTGAGGATTTGCTGATGGGGCTCCTCTGCTGCTGGAGACATAAAGGTTAATGGCTCATGGTGGCTTTGGCTGGGCCAGAGTGGGTGTTTAAACATTTCTGACTGTTGAAACTGAGCCTCAGCCTATGGAGGGGGCACCTGTTTGCATTTTGAGCGTGACTGAGTTATTTGCAAGCCAAGCAAGTAATTGCAGTGAATCAGAGGGGCTGTGCTGAACTGAGGTTTCTTAAAAAGAAAGTTGCTGTGTTTTTGCCTTGTGCAATGAACAAACCAGGGCTTCTGCTTTTTGCCTGCAGCTGAGCGAGTCAAGGAGGAGAACCTGACAATTGTCTGCATCCCTACATCCTTTCAGGTGAGTGCTTTCCCCCTTTGCTTCCTGCCAGTCCAAACACTCCTGCAGGGGATCTCCCTGGGCTGTGGGAGCCCACCTTGCCTCTCTCTGCTTACAGTGGTGTGAATGAACCAAAAGCACCAGTGCAGGCAGTCGTGGTGCAGCCTACAGAAACACCTCACAAAGAAAGTGATGGTGCTGTGTTACTCTGACCTGAGCTGGGGCTGGGAGGTGTGTTTGGAGCCAGTGTGGTTAGGCTGGTTGTGTCAGGGCTGGTGTGTGGCTTCCTCTGGATCCCACTTGCAGGAAAATGCTGCTTAGTGGTGAACCAGACTCGTAGTGCAAAGCTCACTGGAGACACTTTGTCTCCTTTGAGTCTGTATCAGCCCTGACAGCTGTGAAGAATAATAGTTAGCTCTTGTGTTTTCAGCAGGAACTTCAAATGCATCAGCTGGATTTGATAAGAGATTGCAGAAGAGAAATTGGCTTAACCTCTTGTTGGCTGTGCAGCCTTTGCAGGAATTGGTTCATACCAAGCTAGATGTTGAGAGGGCTGGAGGGAGAGGGAGAACCTGGCTTGGTGGTGGAATACAGATCTGCTGGTGAAGATTCTGAGCATCTCCCATGCCTCTGGCAACTGGCTTTGGTCTCTTTGCTTCTGTTCCCTGAGGTGGGAGCCTTCTTTTGGGCAGGCAGGGGTGACACAGTGGGGACCACCCGAAGGGTCTTCAAGGCAATTCCCCAATAAAGGAATTGGGCATGTGTCCTTGTCATGGTCCTGGTGTGGGCTTGGGGACTGCACTTTTGTCACACTCTTGTCACCCTTGTGGCAGTCAGGCAGTGTGGCAGGCAGGGCAGAGCCTGTCCTGTGGGGTGTTCAGGGACTGGGTGGAGCTGACCCTGCTTTGACCTGGAGGTTGGATAGAGACCAACCTGAATTATCCTAAAATCTTAGGAAAACGTAACATCCTCTTACTCTGTAGTTGTATGGGTGTGGGGGTGACAGGGCTCTCTCTTCCCAGCTGTTGCAAACAACTGGGGTATAGTGCAAGGTGCTGCAAAGGCCAGAAAGTGGTTAAAATCTTAGGAAAACCTAACATCCTCTTACCCTGCAGTTGTATGGGTGTGGGGGTGACAGGCTCTCTCTTCCCAGCTCTTGCAAACAACTGGGGTATAGTGCAAGGTGCTGCAAAGGCCAGAAAGTGGAAAAAAAATTAACCTATATTGGTACTTCTGTTGATTGTGGTGAGAGTCTGTCTTTGAGCTGTCTCTAATGATTCCCACCCTGAAATGCCATGTCCCCTTTGAATTTAGGAGAAGTGC